TTTTCTTTTTAATTTAGTTCCATAATATAATTTAATTAATTTATAGTGTTTAAATCAGATTTAATATTTCAATATGTAGATATTCGAAAACTAAAACAGAACATAAACAAAATGTAAACATTGTATTTGCGGTTGTTGCCATGGACATAATACAGAAAATTAATAATCGCGATTTCAATTCGACCCACACGATCTTAAAGGGTCACGAAACCACCTTGACTCAGCAGGGTGTTTTCACACCTCTAGTTTGGAAAAAGACAGGAAAGTGGGTGTGTCCAGCTCTGTTTAGGAGTGTCAAGGGAGGGAAAGAGTTTGCATAAAAATGGGAGTTTTCGTTTGGGCACGTGCTGATTTTCACAGAAGCAAATCAAATACACAGACGCAGGGGAAAAAGACAGTGACTGAGTTTTACATGGTCATCAGAAACCGAATTATTTGCCAAATTATTAATTTGTCGCCTTAAACTGCAGTTTGGCACTTTCATTCAGGAACATTTCCTGCATGCCCCACATGACAAACAAGAGATTCGAGGATGAACTGCTGGACAGTGTAGTTTAATCTTAAATTTGCTTTTCTACAATTCAGCCAATTATATTTTCAAGGTCAGGAGAGAAGCATAAGGCGACTGCACAAGTCCTCAAATTATATATATATATATATATATATATATATATATATATATATATATATATATATATATGTTGCTCAGCAATGTAAACACCTCCAAATGGTGTCACATACTGTATTTATAACATATAATTCACCCAAAAATATGATTTCTCTCTAAATGTATTGATGTCTGATGCACTGTTTGTTTACTAATGAGAGCACGCGCGCCTGCCCGCTAATGTTGTCTACTTTAGTAAACAGAACCTGCATTGGCTGTGAATAACAGGTTATAAAGATGTAACTAACGTTCAGCTTGTTGAACTGAGTGATCGTTTGGGAGCCGCGTGGGAAACATGATTTGATTCTCAAAGTGAGGGAAAAAAAATGTATTCATCTATAGTGTTTAGATCGCTGGTGATCGTGACAAGCCTACTCATATTAACCTTTATTTTTCATCTACTAAATCGTGAGAAAATCATGCTCTTAATAACTTTAAAATAACAAACACTGTACATCTCATACTTATTCTAAAACACTGCTTCATTAATTTGTTTGTTTATTTAATTTTATTTGTAATTTCATTTTTGTACTCTAGTTTTAATTTCAAAAATGAATCCTCATTGCACTTATTAATGATAATAACGCTTTTTAATGATTTATTAAGGAAGTATAATGCTTTGTTTCCTTACTTCATCTTTGTTTATAAGTAGCAGGGTATTTACAGCTACTGTATATTTCTGTCCGTTCGAATACCGCCACTTTGTGCCCCCGGTGGCATTGTTGCAAACTGCTATTACACAGAAAAACATTGTACTAATCCCGCATCGACGTCACATGGGGGGGGGGGTTCTGGTAATTTTAAACTGTAACATACAATTTGTGTATATACCTGTAGATATTGCAATAATTATTTAAGATATTTACACAATTTATATCTGTTTTCAAATTGAATATTTCAAAAATAATAATTGATTCCTGTTATGCAAAGCTGAATTGTCAGAATCATTACAAAATGGATTTAATTTTGAAATCTAAAAATATATATGTGTTTTGCTTCTTAATATTTTTGTGGAAATCTAGGTTTTTTAAGACATTTGGTTGATTTATAAAATGCAAATAACATTTATTTGAAATAGAAATATTCAAATTATGAAACTCAATTATACATTTAATAAATTACATTTTCTTTATGGCTGACAATATATCAGTGTGTACCTAAAACAGCTCATTTATTCACAGAAAAGCATATTTTATCTGCCAATATAGTATACACGCCAATTCTGGGTGGAATACGACAACCACTGGGCTATGTTTTATTTAAAAATGTAACCCAGTGACTTATTTCACACAAATATGACTTCAAACTACCCAATATGTTTTACAGTGTTTACAAAGTTTCTTTTTATGTCGACTGAAATCAAATATTCATGAAAATGCATTCCCTTACAGTGCACTAATATATTCTTTCAATTCATATGCATGATATTTCCTGAAATTAATTTCTCAAAAAACATACTTTATGGATTTCAAGTATACGAATCAATACGTTCAAGTGCACTTTTCTTTACAGCCGTCAATGCGGTTTCATGTTGTAACATTATACAGTGTGACGTGGATGTTCAGCCCATCCTGTTCTTTGACTTGCAGATGGTGGAGCTTATGAAATATTCATCCTGGATCATCCTGTTCCTCTTTGTGTTTGCAGGGAGAAGCCTTTGAGTCAATTTTGGCTCAAGGCATTGAACTAAATAGTCATATGTGGAAGTGCACTCATGTTTGAGGAGGTTTAGGAGTGTTACTTCTTTCTAATCATGCGAATGATGCAATCGTCTGGGGGGCTTACATTTGTTTATTCTGAGAAATTATAAAAAGCATTATTTCACTGTGTTTTTTATATTTTATACAGTTGAAGTCAGAATTAGCCCTTCAGTATATTTTTCCCCAATATGCTTATTTCTCAAGACCACCATTTTAAAAAACGAAAGTGAGGCTGAGGTGGGAAGAAATCCGGAAGTATAGGATCAGAACTGTAAACATTGCAACAACATCCCGTGGATTACAAACCTCCAGCTGTTTCCACAATTTCAAAGTGCAGATATGGTTTAAACAGCACTTTAATATTATTCAGTTTAGTTTAATTTAAGCAATTAAAAGCATATTAGACATCAAACTAAATCACAATCTCTTAAAGAGTAATCTGCTTAAGTTTCCCCCTAAGCTTTAGTTCACGGCACCAGGTAAACACCATGGGGACGCTTCCCTGCTTTAGCCAATTTAGCTGGTGAGCAATAAAACAATGCAGTCCTCTGTAGCACACTCTCGTGTTGTCTGTAATAGTGTTGTCCTGGTACTGGAGTTTTAAAAACATCCATTTCCCACTAACATTTAAGCGCTGCCGTGCGCTTTCCTAAATACTGCTGATTTGCCATAGTACTCACCAGTGCTCACCAAAAAATGACTGTGATTGGCCGTGAAGGTCATCAGCTCACCGCTCTTTTCAAGTGCAAACACAGATACTAAGACACTGGAGCACTTTAAAGCCATGAAGATCAGTCGATTCATCAGCGATTCGCTTGTGTGTTTGCACTCGGTAAACATCAGTGAAGAGTGGTGAACTGATGACCTTCACACAGGCTCAACAAAATTGGACAATTGAAGATTGGAAAAACGTTGCCTGGACTGATGAGTCTCGAATTTTGCTGTGACATTCGAATGGTAGGGTCAGAATTGGGCAACAACAACATGAAAGCATGGATCCAACCTGCCTTGTCTACAGTTCAGGCTGCTGGTGGTGGTGTAATAGTGCGAGGGGTATTTTCTTGACACACTTTGGGTCCATTAGTACAAATTGAGCATCGTGTCAAAGCCACAGCCGACCTGAGTATTGTTGCTGACCATGTCCATCCCTTTATGACCACAGTGTACCCATCTTCTGATGGCTACTTCCAGCAGGATAATGCACCATGTCATCTTCAAATCATCTCAGACTGGTTTCTTGAACATGACAATGAGTTCACTGTACTCAAATGGCCTCCACAGTCACCAGTCTCAATCCAATAGAGCACCTTTGGGATGTGGTGAAACGAGAGATTCACATCATGAATGTGCAGCCTACATCATGTCAAAATCTCTGAGGAATGTTTCCAGTACCTGATTAAGGATTAGGGCAGTTCTGAAGGCAAAAGGGAGCCCAACTTGGTACTAGTAAGGTCTACCTAATAAAGTGGCCGATGAGTGTAGTTCCTAGCCATACTGACCTATAAAATAACAACTTTTCAATTTCTGAAACTCAAAAAAAACTCAAGCTTTTTATAGGGAAATCTTTGGTCATTTTGAGTGAGAGGCTAATGGTCTTATCTGATTCAGTGATTTATGTTAAGCTAAGCTAAAAGTGTTCTCGCCAGACCCAGAAATCGGCTGAATGGATTAAGAAATAATAAACTTTAACTTTAGGTTACTTGTAAAATGAACATATTTTCAAATTAAAGTGGAGCTTTCCTTTAATGCAATCAGTCAGCTCTCTGTTCACCTTCAGTGTCATCCTGGCCACATTCTGCAAGTCTGTAAGCTTTAAATTTTTGGCGGTTCTGACCTTAAACCAGCTCCAAAAAAACAAAAACAAAATAAGTTCTTTTTTATCAAAGCAGCTTTTGTAACAGGCTGTCTGTTGTTTAGGACTGCAGTCATGATATGCTTTAACTTTAATATCCTTCATCCAGCTTGAAACCAAAAGCCCCTTTGTCCCGAGGAAGTAATTCTGTGAGGTTGTTTCACACCAATAATGTGTTTATTCAGTTTTAATGAAGTACAGTGTTTCGTTTGACCGAGGGTGCACTTTGGGGAAAAGATCGTTGGAGATTTTAAAGTGATATGATCCAATTATAAAACACTGAGTTTAATTCGTGAGACATTGCACGCTAACCCAGATCCTGTGACTCAGTCTGGCCGGATCTGTCCTATTATGACCAAAACCAAATTTCATTAATACTAATGCCGTTTGCTTTTAAAAATAGATTTAGAAGAAAAAAGTCTCTTATTTTAGGCAGTTTTATTTTTAAACTCCCAGAGTTCTGGTTAAATTTAACCAGTATATTAAGATTTTGTTTTGTCATTTTTGTTAATAACGTGTATTTTTAACATCATGCAATGTTTTATTGCTCTAAAGTATTTACTGTTGTCAAGTTAGAACTAAACCGAAATTTCAAATGCATAATAGGTCATATATATATATATATATATATATATATAATTTGATAATTTGTTATTATTATTTTAGCATTTTGTTCTAGCATGAAATTTTGTAACAATGCTAATCATTTTAATGTGAACTTTAATGTACACTTTACATTAAGTTTGTGATCTCTAATCTACATTTGTTTGTTTCCCGACAGGGTTTGAAGAACAGGACACTGATCTTTTTCTGTGCGACACAAACACTTGCAAGTTCGACGGCGAGTGTCTGCGAATCGGGGACACGGTGACGTGCATCTGTGATTTTAAGGTAGGAATCAATGCTCCTCAGATACAGTTGAAGTCAGAATAATTAGCCCCCCTTTGAGTTTTTCTTCTTTTTTAAATATTTCCCAAATGATGTTTAACAGAGCAAGGAAATTTTCACAGTATGTCTGATAATATTTTTTCTTCTGGTGAAAGCCTTATTTATTTTATTTTGGCTGGAAAAAAAGCAGTTTTTTAACTTTTTAAAAAGTCATTTTAAGGTTAAAATTATTAGCCCCTCTAAGCTATTTATTTTTACAAAAGTCTACAGAACAAACCATCGTTATACAATAACTTGCCTAAATACCATAACCTGCCTAGTTAACCTACTGTAATCAACCTAGTTAAGCTTTTAAATGTCACTTTAAGCTCTATAGAAGTGTCTTGAAAAATATCTATAAAATATTATGTACTGTCATCATGACAAAGATAAACTAAATCAGTTATTAAAAATGAGTTATTAAAACAATGATGTTTAAAAATGTGTTAAAAAAATCTGCTCTCCGTTTAGCAGTCATTGGGGGGAAAATAAACAGGGGCTAATAATTCAGGAGCGCTAATAATTTTGACTTCAACTGTATTACCATTTGCGTGCTATTTTTAGTATCACAATTTGATCATGTGATGCGTTTAAGGCACTACACTAGAGCTGGAAATCAATTCAGATGTCCTGATTCAATTCAGTCCTGATTTGCAAACTGTTAATTTGATTTAACTTAATTTTCTATTTAATTCAGCAGATATAGATTTAATACAATTGCTGCTGATATTCTCAAAAATGATCAATGAAGACTTTATTTCAGGTGCATTTTTACATTAAAAAGTCGATTGTAAAAAATAAACGACCGTAAATTAAATGGTAAAAAACTGTAAAAATGCTACAGTAAAAATATGTAACCTGGTTAATTGTACATATCCTTAAAATATATGATGTGTAGGGTTAAGCCTGGTTTATACTCGACGGGTCCGCTAGTTCGCTTGAGAGCGTGAAGCGAATGTGATGTCAATTAAGTACACACAGCATGCCATATCATCTGATAGTTGTAAGAATTACAGGGAGGTTGCCGCTTGACTTTAGTATGATCTCCTTTAGTATGATCTTTAGGGGAGGGATTTGGGGGCATGCCTCTTTGTAAAAAAAAATTAAAACATTTTTTTTGGTAGGAATTATTTACCATGCATTTGTACGAATTAGCAACCTTTTGGAAAAACCTAAAATAGTTACATTTCCTTGTTAAACACAGAATACCCCTAAAATACAGAATCAATTTAAAAAATAAACCACTTTAAAAAAATTATAAATACATTTCCCTCTGGCCCTACTACACACACACACACAGTGTAAGCAAACTGTCGCTAATTAAAATCCACCCCCACATGTTTTCTCAGGGCAAACAAACACACACACACACACACACACACACACACACACACACACACACACACACACACACACACACACACACACACACACACACACACACACACACACACACACTTTCTCTCGGTCAGAGTGCTCAGCTCCGCTCAGACGTCGTGCATCTGTGTCTTGTTGCAGGCCAAGCTGCATCACTCAGGTAAATAGCATTATCTGTCTGCTCTGACTGTGCGCGGGGGGGAATTTCCTTTGATGCATCTGCTCGCTCGGCCGACTTCGCTCCGCACAAAGATGCCTTGTGCACTTAAGAAGGGTCACGCTGCTTTCATTCCTGCCCTTAATACAATTGAGCGGCACTAACGCTGGTCTGGGGCCACGCGAGTGCATCTAGCTGTGGTGGGACGGGTTATTGGTTAAGTATCATGCGCCGTGAGAGACAGTAGCGGGTGTGTATGGGAAAGCCCTGCTCCTGGTGCCCGAAGCCCTGCCCTACCTCCAGACTCCCAAACTGAAAGTGCAATGGGAGAAGTGTGTGTGTGTGGGAAAGAGAGAGAGAGAGAGATGAATGGATGTGATTCGCACAAGTTCACTTACTGACATGCTATTGATCCAGCTCTTATACTCAGAGAGAGAGAGTGAGAGAGGAATTGAAGGCGGTCATTCGCTTTCTAGACTACTAGAAACGCTAAATGGAACTGCAATCTGATGTTGAAGGGAGCCGGCTGAGATAGAAGGGAAATATGGGCACATTTAGCTAGTGTGAGATTTTTTAGGGTGGACGGGACAACCTGTTTGTCCCTACAATGGGGGATAGTGTTTTATTGCTTGTTTATTTGTTTGTTTATACAGACCATCAGCATTATTCAACCAAAAGTTATTCATTATTCAACCTCTTCCTATTCAAACACACCTGAATCAACTGATCAGAACATAACAAGAAACTATAAAACCGGAAGTTAGTGGGTCAGATAAGGGAGACATCCAGAATATGCATGTTGGTGCGCCTCCCAATAGAGTCTGGCTGCAGATTTGCACTTGCACTTTCAGGCTTGCACTTTCGGACTTCCTCTGCAAGTGACGTCATTTACAATCGACACCTGTGCCCGCTTGCATGAAAGTCCTTCAGTAATTTAACTAAAGGCTCGTACACACCGGGACGCTTTTCGCATTTATTGTCAGAGTTTTTCAGGATTCAAATCCAAGCAATTTTCACTGGCGTTGAGCAGAAGATTGTGCAAAATCACTCCTTGACGTTAGATGACGCTACACAACTTTAAGCCTCTGACACCCGCTTGTAACACAGTAGAAGACAAAGTTGACACGCTTGTTGCTATGGATGGTTCAAGCAGCAGCTGGGTGTGCACGATCACATTGACGCCCTTTATTTAGTTACGTTAAACGTCGACGGAAAAGCCGAGCAAAATACATCATTACTTCGTTATGATTAAGAGCGTTGCAAACAACCTTCTTATCTGTCACCTATACCAAAGTGCCTCTTTCGTTTCTGGCAACATACGGCTACCGGCGCCGCAATGGCTATAGTTACGTGAATAGATCCAAATGAACCACGAATGCTTGCCTTACAGCAGCTCTGCAGTACACGTCATCTGTGCTGTTTTCTTTCGGTTAAGCGAGTCGAGACGTTCCCCTATTGAGTCGATCTCAACATGATGTTTGGAGGACCTATAAAACTGGGCTGGGATCATTTAGAGACTTTAGACTCTAGAAACTGCGATTTCATATGGATGCACTCATATATTACACATATATATTAGTTTATTTATTAAATTGTTTTATTACATTATTTATCTACAGTTCCGAGTCGTTTATCTAAAACATTTTTATGTGGGGGAGAATGCTTGCATTTTGAGTGTCATTTGTTCAAGGGAGCTGATTAGTTCTCTTAAATGTTTTAAGAGGAAATTGTTACTAAAGACTAAAGAGAAATACCTAATGGCAGCCTTAAGTTCCTTAAGTTGTTCTTTTTTTTCACTTTTTTTTTTGGTTCTTGCAACTCAATTTTTACTAAGAGTACCCTTAACCTTCAAACTGGGGGATTTTTTGGTTAAGGACTTTCATGACGTCACTTGCAGAGGAAGCATGGGTGCCTGAGAGTGCAAGCTCGAAAGTGCAAGAATGAAAGTGCAAGTGCAAATCTGCAGCCAGACCCTTCTCATGCCTTCAGGAACATGGTTGGGAAACACTGCTCTATGCCATTCTGTCACATTGTTGTTGGGTCCACTGTTGGTTTGGTTTAGTACAATACAATATGCATTTATTTTTATTATCAGAGTCAGAAATTAAAATAGCGCTCCATACCCTACCACTTTTTGGGACCATTTCACTAGGCTACTGTAGACTTGCTGTCACGATCAGCTGTGATCTAGCAGTTGCAGATCGCCGAAGAACTACAAATCCCACCCTGCACCTCACACACACCCGTTCTCTCACTGATTGTTCACACACAGCTGGAAACTTGTCATAGACTGATTGCCGGGACTATTAATATACCTCACATTCCCACACACACTGCTGAGTCTTGGTCGCTGTTAGCATTACGAAATGCTTTCCTTTTGTGTGTGTGTGTGTGTGTGTGTGTGTGTGTGTGTGTGTGTGTGTGTGTGTGTGTGTGTGGTTGAATTTTATTGGTTTCACATGTGAGTGGTCACAGCATCTTTAAACTTTTCTTTTCGATAAAACAAAGCTAGATCCACTCCTCGACCCCCCCCCCCCCAACTCCAGCCCACCCAGATAAACACCCACACTACCCCCCTGTTCATGCCTTCCTCCAAATAACATTGAAATCAAGACAAAAAACTAACAGAACTAACTAATATGCTGATTTGAGGCTCATGAAGCATTCATATTTTTCTTGAAACTATGATAGTTGTTGTTTCATCATTTCTAACATTATAAAGAGCACTTTTAATCAAATGTAAAGCATCTTTGCTGAGTAATAGTGCTGTATTCTGTTAAGAAAAAATCTGAAGCTACATTTTTGAAATGTAGAGTGCGTGTGAATTTGAAACACCTAGTTATCTCCTGGGTATAGAGGCTGTCAGTAGTGTGCAGTATTTTTATCTGCATAAGAGTCAAACGAAATGCTTTTTCTCTCTACAATTTATCCTTGCACTCTGGCCATCTGTCTTGCAGTTTGTGATCAAATGACTATGTGCGAGTGCCAAAGCACTATATAATATGTGCTCTGACATGGCACTGAGTCTGTCATGTTCCAATTTAGGAAAGAAAAACACTGAAAAACATACACTGACACGCTATAAATTACACATCTGTGCATGTAACTGTCGCACAGTAATGGATCTGAGAGAGGAACTGGTTGGAGCTCACGTCAATAATGGCAGGATTGCAAACTGACTGCTTCAAAAAAACACATTTGATATGAATTATGTTTAATTTCCTCAACACTGCATTATTGTTGAGGAGAAAATGACGTCTTTTTAATTCAAACATTAAGGTAAAGCTAAGGTCACAGTCTTGAGTTTCAAGGAACGCAAGCATTTTCATATAAAGAAAATGTGTGTCAGTGTGAGTCGCTTTGGATAAAAGCATTACCAAATGCATAAATGTAAAAGAAGGTTATTTTATATTTTTATTCTTGTTCAAAA